TATTTTTTTGTCAGATTGGTAAAACATATATTTTGGTGTGCCGGAAAATTTTAGTAATTAGTGTATGTGTGCCCTGAGATGAAAAAGGTTGAAAATCGCCGCTCTGAAAGATTTCTCTGGAGGTGACAAGGAGAATGGATTGGAGACTTTTTAGAAGATGAAGTCCCTGGGTTTGGTGACCATTGGATAGGGGAAGAAGGGAGAAGGAGGACTACCCTGAGACGAGATTTCCGGCTGGAGCTGTTGCATGGAAATCATTGCCATGAACAGGGGGAGGAAGCGGAGCAGGGACAGGTGTCAGATAGAGGGCGAGCTCACTGAGTTGGAATGTAAGTTGTGTGTGGGTCATAAAGTGGAGATGTAGGAGGCATTTGGATATAGTATTGATCCTGGAGCTTAAAAAAGACTTGTCCATGGTCCTGGCCTGTGTGGCTCAGTGGGTTGGGCATGGTCCCGTGCACCAAAAAAAATTGCCAGTTTGATTCCAGTCAGGGCAGATGCTGAGTTGCGGGCTTGATCTCCGGTAGGGGGATTGCCAATGGGTGTTTTGCTCCCACATTGATGTTTCTCTCTCCCTTCTCCCTTTCTCTCTCTCTAAAAATCAATTAAAAAAAAGGCTTGTCTGTGTTTTGTTTTTAATGTTTTTTATTGATTTCAGAGATGAAGGGAAAGCGAGAGATAGAAACACCAATGATGAGAGAGAATCATTGATTGGCTGCCTCCTGCACAGACCTCGCTGGGAATCGAGCCCGCAACTCAGGAATGTGCTCTTGACCAGAATCAAACCTGGGACCCTTCAGTCCACAGGCCAACACTCTATCCACTAAGCCAAACTGGCTAGGGTTTGTCCATATTGTCACCTTATAATTGAAACCTGGAGCCTTGGGAGTGAGTGAAAATCATCTAAAAGTCTTCTAGGACAGAAGGAAAGGTCATGAGATGGAACCCTGGGGAGCACTGGCCTTTTAAGATTGAGGCAGAGGGAAGTTACCAGGGAAGAGAGGGGAGTCGTAAAAGAATGTTTAGCTGCCTAGTTATAAATAACTACATTAAATAAAGTAATATTCTTGCAGATTCACTAAGAAAAGTAAGGAAAATGCAGAAAACAAAGGGAAAAATAATTCCCTTCATCCCACCGTAGATTGATTTACTGTCTGGGTTTTCCTCTCCCTGGCACTTTCTGTTACATATTGCACCATAGAGGTAAACTTGTGCATCTATAAAGCAGTCGCCTCCAGTTTGTTTACTGTGTAATGTACTTACAGACTCTCTAAGAGGGGCTGGTTGCATGGTGAGTTTTAAAGGCATTCAAATCCTAGGTCTTTAATCTCTGTATTTGTCATTTCTAAAATAGATCTGCCAGAGTATACTTAGTCCTTCCTTATGACAAAAGAAAGGCTAGACCTTCACCCATTCTGAATTTTCTGTGATGTATCACCTCGGGTGTTAAAACCTCTAAGATGCTAAATGAATGGATTAGGGGAAGTATTGGATTAAGGATGCTTTCTTTAATGATTTAAGACATCTAAATCCCATAGAGGCTTCCTGTGTTCCCTGACTTATTAATGGTAATACCTATTTGGTTTTTTTTGTTTTTTTAAAAAATATATTTTATTTTTATTTTTTACAGAGAGGAAGGTAGAGGGATAGAGAGTCAGAAACATCGATGAGAGAGGAACATCGATCAGCTGCCTCCACATTCCCCACTAGGAATGTGGCCGCAACCAAGGTACATGCCTTTGACCGGAATCGAACCCGGGACCCCTGAGTCCGCAGGCCGACGCTCTATCCGCTGAGCCAAACCGGTCAGGGCTATTTGTTAAGAGTGAAGGTTAGCTGAAACTGGTTTGGCTCAGTGGATAGAGCGTCGGCCTGCGGACTGAGGGGTCCCGGGTTTGATTCCGGTCAAGGGCATGTACCTGGGTTGTGGGCATATCCCCAGTGGGAGATGTGCAGGAGGCAGCTGATCGATGTTTCTCTGTCATCGATGTTTCTAACTCTCTATCGCTCTCTCTTCCTCTCTGTAAAAAAAAAATCAATAAAAATATATTTCAAAAAAAAAAGAGAGTGAAGGTTGGCCTTAGAAATGGCATTAAGCCCAGCCTGTGTGGCTCAGTGGTTGAGTGTCGACCTATGACCCAGAGGTCATATTTGGATTCCTGGTCGGGACACATGCCTGGGTTTCAGGCTCAATCCTGTGGTAGGGGCCTGCAGAAGGCAGCCAATCAATGATTCTCTCTCATCACTGATGTTTCTATCTCTTTCTCCCTCTTATACTAGGGGCCTGATGCATGAAACTCGTACACTGGGGGAGCAGATCCCTCAGCCCTGCCTGCACCCTCTCACAGTCCGAGACCCCTTGTGGCTGGATAGCCTACTGCTGCTGCATGGCCTACTGCTTGAGCTTTAGTAGCTGCTGTATGTGCACAGCCTGGGCCACCATGGTCTGTCCTGCGAACACCATCGAGTTGGTGAGTCAAGCATGGAGGCAGGCTCACCCTGAGTTTCCTGCACTTCCCTGAGTCTTCGAGTTGTTCAGACTGACTGCTTTCTATGAGAACAACACTGGGATCGGGCCTAAGCTGGCAATCAGACATCCCTCTCGCAGTCCCAGGCTCTTGCAGTCTGGGACCCCTCGCTCCTTACCGCCCACCTGCAGTGGAGGTGGGAGAGGTTCCCGGCACCACCACTGCGCTCGCCAGCCATGAGCCTGGCTCGCTGCTCCTCAGCACTGATTCTCTCTCATCACTGTTGTTTCTCTCTCCCTCCCTCTCTGAAATCAGTACAAATAAATTAAAAAAAAAAGAAATAAATGGTATTAAGATACTATGTTTGGCCAGTGTTTAAGATAGTCTGAATTTAGAACATTTGAGGCTGTGTAAGTTAGTGACAGTGATTCTTTTACATGTAACAGGAATATTTCATAGGACTACTAGGGGTGTACACACTCCATCGAACTTGAGCATAGTATCTTACAAGAATGTTAAATGTGATGATCTCTGATAATTAAGAAAAGGTTAAATGAAAATTTTCTGTTTAAGAACACAGAAAAGTCTATATTACATTTTGAAAATTTTCCACAAAATAAATTGGGTACATAGGGTAACTGGAAAATTCACTTCCATGGAACCTCTGCTTTTAGGTAACAAGGAACAGAGACCCACGTTGCCTTAAGTGGTGGGAATTTAATAGTATGTGAGGAGAAAATTAAACACAGGAATTATCTCAGAAAATGAGCAGCAGTTCTTGTGGCCCCAACAGTAACTATATACAGGTCTCTAGTGTTACTACTGTTACTAGAAGCCCAGTGCACAAGATTCATGCCATATTAGGCTTTTATTATATAGGATTTCTCCATCTCTGCTTTCTGCTCGCTGCTTCCCTTGCTGTCATTTAACATTTTCACCCTCCACCTCATGCTGCTCTTTCCTGCCACCGCTCTTGGTCTGTGCTTCCTTTGGCTGTCATTCAGACTTATGAACATAGAGGTCAGAGTATACTTATTTGGCCATGATTCAATTCAGCAAGAGTTCTCAGGCTAACATTGAAGGGTTCCGCCAGCCCATAGATAATTGCCTTTGGTTGAGAAGCTGAACTTACATCCCTAAATTGAAAGTCCTGGTTTTGACTGAGGTGATGATGGGTCATGGGCATAGTGATTTATATATATAGCTGCTTTTTTCAGAAGTGAGTAGCTTCCACTTAAAAACCTTTATAAACTCAACTTTCTTACGGGTTAAGGGGACTAGTGCACCACCAGGGTCCCAGGTAAGGGGGCAGCCTCTACTCAGCTTCAGCCTGTCGGTGCTGTGGATTGCCAGGCCCAGTACTGCCAGTCTAACTTTGTTTTTCAAAAAAGAGAAACCAGAAGTCCAGATTCCTAAAAAGACTCTCAATTTTTGTTGACAACTATCAGTCATTGTTGTTGTTTTGTTTTGTTTTGTTTTTTTAATATGGAACGCTTCATGAATTTGCATATCATCCTTGTGCAGGGGTCATGCTAATTTTCCATGGACTGTTCCAATTTTAGTATATGTGCTGCTGAAGCAAGCACGTCATTGTTGGCAACTATTTCAAATATTGTTCAGGCAAATCAAAACACACCTGTGGATTAATAATTTGTGATCCTGGCTTCATAATGTGTCAAATATAACTTTTTTTTCTAATGAGGTTGGCCAAATGAGGGGCAAGTATTTATTTATTTTAAATATACTTTTATTGATTTCAGAGGGGAAGGGAGAGAGAAAGAGAGAGAGATAGAAATATCAATGATGAGAGAGAATCACTGATTGGCTGCCTCCTGCATGCCCCACACTGGGGATAGGGATTGAACCTGCAACCCAGGCATGTGCCCTGACTAGGAATTGAACTGTGACCTCCTGGTTCACAGGTTGACTCTCCACTACTGAGCCATGCTGGCTGGGTGAGGCAGGGTGAGGCTCAAGTATTAATAAAGCAGCTGGCATAATGGAGGAGGCCTGGTGTTACTACTTACTAGCTCTGTAATCTGTCATTAGGTACCTAAACTCAGCGTTTCTCAGCTCACAAGGTAGTTTTGAGGCTCAAATTTTATCTCAGAAGCAATCTCTGATCATCCTACCTAAAACAGGCCTCCACCATTTATGTCGCTTACCACTAGCAGATAATATATTATGTATTTACTTCTCTGTTAATTATCTGTTTTTTAGCCCACTGCCAAGTCCACAGCCCTGGCCGGTCGCTTAGTTGGTTGGAGCATTGTGTGCACCACAAAGGTTTCGGGTTCTCTCCCCAGATGGGCACATACAGGAGGCAACTGATGGATGTTTCTCTCTCTCTGCCCCTCCTTCCTGTCTCTCGAAAATATACATAAAATCTCCCCTCAGGTGAAGGTTAAAAAAAAAGATATACATAGAGAGAATAGATGATGGAAGCATGTATAGACTCTACAAAATATATCATGTTAATTAACTCACTCAGTAATGTAGGGATGAGAAGGAAACCAAAGTGTCAACAGTGATATAAAATAATCCTGCCTGACTTCTGGTTGTGCATAGGTTAGCTGATGAACTGCATATGCCATCCCTCCCCGAGATGATGTTTGGAGACAACGTTTTAAGAATCCAGCATGGCTCTGGCTTTGGGATTGAGTTCAATGCTACAGATGCTTTGAGATGTGTGAATAACTACCAAGGAATGCTTAAAGTAGCCTGTGCGGAGGAGTGGCAGGAGAGCAGGTGAGAGTCCCGGCAGTTGTGGGTGAAACCGAGAAGAGAGTTGAAAGAAACGATATTAGAATGGGGGGCTAGTATTATTATTAAACTTGGTAGTTGGATTATTCTAAAATTAATCTTTCTCATCTATAACATGGAGATTAGTTACGCCACCTCTTAAATGCTTCTTGAGTTAATTGCGTAACATTTGAGCTGAGCTCTGTGGAGTTTCTTTTTTGAGCGTTTAGTGTTCTTTAGTGAAGAGTACACTGTGTACTTGAATGTTCCTGTTTTTCAAGAAAAATGCTGTGATTTGCATTGAAAATTTGAGGACCTTTGAAATTAAGAAAAATTTATTTTCTTTGGTAGTCAAAGCAGCAATTATTTACTTTGTGCCTGTTATGTACTAGTACCTTGGAGAATATAAAGGAGGATGGGCTTTATAAAAGGTCCTCAGGCAGTGTAGAGACTGATTGGGAAGACTACTCAGCACGTGTCAAGTTAAACAGCAATAAGTGCAGGAAGAAAGAAGGCCTGTGTTAGTGAATTCTGACAAGTGTGTGTATTAGTAGGAGGTTTGACATCATGTGTGGAATGTAATTTGGTGTGATAATGAATGCAGATGATCTGCATGCTGCGTCACTAAATCTGATCCTTCTTATTTTGGTATTTGAGGAACGAGGGTGAGCACTCCAAGGAAGTTATAAAACCATACGATTGGACCTTTACAACAGATTATAAGGGAACATTACTTGGAGAATCCCTCAAGTTAAAGGTAACTGTTATTTTTTGCTTTTATGAGTCATCAGTTGTCTTGGATAGTCTTGGCATTAGAACTTTCTAGTAATGGCTTATTTTTTACTACTACTTTCACATGTTTATTTCTGTCGTGGGGGCTTCAGAACCTAATATGAGGGATTTTGCTTATTGATTATCAGCAGGGAATAAAGTGGAGGGATTTTAATTACATGTGGTTGGGAGCAGTGAACTACTGCCTTAATGTTGTCACTATCGAGAGGTGTTCAGGCCTGTGCTTTAGACCAGTGGTCGCCAACCTTTCAGACCTCACGGACCACCAGTGGTCCATGGACCACTGGTTGGAACCGCTGCTTTAGACAGACCTGGTAGCAACAGCTCCCAGTTGTACAGTTGAATAGAGATGTGGGCAAATAGGACTTCTGTCCTGCCTGTACTATGTGGGAACTGGTATGATCTTAGGGGAGTTGCTCAATCTATTTATCTGAGTCTTAGTCTCATCAGTAAATTGGGTAAACATATGTCTGCCTCACAGCAGAGTTTTGATGCGAGGTCATCGATGGGAAAGCTCCCCGTAGATTCTAAAGCGCTATGTGAATGTTGAATTGCATCATGTAAGCCCTGCTTAGGGTGGATTTCTCCATGATAAATACACCAAGAAGGTGGAATAGGTAGGTCTCCTATTGGGAGCTTTATTTACTTATTATTTATTCGCTTTGTTTGCCTATTATTTATTTTGAAATGAGGGAAATTTGGCTTAGGTTGCTGTTTGTAAGTATCACATTTTGTCAGAGAGAACAAAATGTATTTCACTCTAACTATTTTCATTAAAAGTAGTTATCGGAGACCCCATATCATATGTGGGTATTTAGGCAGAAATGTAAGGAGTTGGGGTTGTGTGGGGGCTCCTTGTCTCTGCGGAGATTGTTAGAATCTTGGGAAGCTGGAAGTTCGTGGCAGCAACTTAATTCTTGTCTTCACTTGCTGCCACTCCTGTATTCCAAGAGTTAACTATTTTGTGCTGCTTCCAAGACAAAAACACAGTTTTGAGAAACCATGTATTCATTCAATCATTCATTCATTCATTCATTCATTCTTGAGCTCTTACTATGTGCTGGGCAGTAACCCTAGGAGCCCTGGATACACAGAGAACAGACAAAAATCCCTCCTTTGCAGTCTCATGGGGAGCAAGGTTCGTCAGACCCTTACAATGCTTCATAAGTTCACGTCTTTTCTCCTCTCTCCTGATTGAAGAGCTCTGTCAATTAGGGGGCCCTCTGGCACATGGTTGCCAGGAGTGAGGAAATTTCGGGAACTTGTTTTAACCCGATGCCGTAATGATGGTGATGACTGTGGGGTGACTTAGGAAAAGCCTCCTGGCGGCTGTGGAGTAGCATTAGCGACCTTCCTGTCTCCAGCTCCTCGGAAAGACTTTTATGTGCTCCTTCTGACATTTTTCTTTTAGGTTGTGCCTACAACAGATCATATAGACACAGAGAAATTGAAAGCCAGAGAGCAGATTAAGTTTTTTGAAGAAGTTCTCCTGTTTGAGGATGAACTTCATGATCATGGAGTTTCAAGCCTAAGTGTGAAAATTGTGAGTATTATGATTTTTGTTTAAAATTTCTTTCTTCTGTTTCTACCATTGGTTAGAAATATAAGACTCACTTTGAATTATACCGTCTTAATATGATATCATGTACAGTTTCATTTGAGTCTAGAGTACGTCCTACTAATTAATGTCCGTTATAAAATTCACAAAATCTTAATATATTTGTAAGGCTTTAGCAAAGCATTTTTTAAAGACCTGCCTGGTCACTTTGTACTTTGTTTGCTTATTATGTAATTTGAATGAAAACTATGACTTAATTTTCACATTTTGAATTAAAAACAATGTGGAGAGACTGAGCAGACAGCAAGGTGGATACTATGTAAGGAAATGACAATGTGTCAGGACTCAGTGCCCCATAAACTACACTCAGCTTCCAGCATCCAAGTGAAAACAGGAATGACAAGTATCAGTTCCTTGGAGGACGGACTGCTTCCATTACCAATGCTGCTGGTGAAACATGCGTAAAAAGAAAACAAGCAGGCCGCCACAGTTACTCATATTTGTTTATATTAGGTTGTAATCGGGTTTCTTAACATTTTCCAGAAAAATCACAACTTTTTATTAAATGCCTTATTCTTTAACACCTAGCTAAAATGTCACCTCCTCTATGAGGCCCTCCACAGCAGAGTTAAATATCCCTTGTCCATACTCCAAAAATACATTATTTTTAACCGCTCCATTATAGCACTTATCATAAGGTCTGTCAAAGATGGGCCCTAGCATCAAACATTGTTCTCAAAGCACAATCATGGTGAGTATGGTGATTTAAACAATAATCTCTCCATATAAAAGCCTAAGCGACCATTAGGCCGACGATCAGCTGGTAGCTATGACGTGCACTGACCACCAGGGCACAGACGCTCAATGCAGGAGCTGCCCCCTGGTGGTCAGTGCGCCCCCACGGCCAACCTCCCGTGGCCGCCCCCACCCAAGTCGGATTGCCGACCAGGCCAAGGAACCCCACCCATGCACGAATTCATGCACTGGGCCTCTAGTTAAGAATGAAAACAATAAATCAAAAACAGCAGTAATTTGTTTTAAAGTCAAGATTTCTGTAGAATCCTAGGATTTTGGAATTGTAATGAATTTTTACAGAATCATTTAGTTTAGCCTCTGTATTTTATAAATGACTTCCCAAAAGACTAGTTTATCTAAGTTGGGGTAACTAATTTTGAACCAATATCTCTATTATTCTAGCATTACATCACTGTTTTCTGAGCATCCCACTCCCTATTCGCCCATAATTCTCCCCCAATTTATCTTTGCCATTTAGATTTCTTCATGCTGATTCATTCAGTCATGTACCTTTCCATTTGTCTACCCACTCACAGAGCTGGCGGTGTTGAATGTTCATTATGATGTGCATATCTGGTTGGGCACTTGTATCCAAGTGGGTGGCTATGTCTGTGATGTATGCAAGTGGGTAGGCATGTGGGGAGCACACGTGTTTGTGTGGGTGAAAGTGTTGGAGAGGGTGTGGGCATAAATGGAACATGTGTGTACCAGAGCAAATAGTAAGTCTCAAATCGAAGAGTAATCATCATCGTGAGACGTTTTTCTTCTCACTTAGTGCACCTGGAGGTATGAGTGTGGACCAGTGACGTTCCCTTGTATTGAAGCAGAGACTAGCTGAGAAGTAGAGATGTCTGGAGGATGCAGGAATGTGGTGCCAGAGAGTCGGGAGTAGGACACGTCTCATGGAGGAGGGCGCTGATGACTCCGCAGTGCTGGTGCAGGGGCCCTTGTTAGAAATGTCATCCTGGGGACTTTACAGAGAGAGCCTGAGGTCGTTCCTCACGCCCCGCTTTTAATATAGAGGTTATTAAAACCTGGGTGGTTCAGTGACTTGCTTTAAGTTACTGCTCTGCCATCTCATCAGACCCATCACTCCATTTATTTTTTCTTTAACCAAATACTGTAAGTACCTTCTCCCATTTACTACCCTGAAATGAAATTCATAGGTAAGGTACTACTTTTCAGTAAATTAACGTAATGTCCTAATTATAATTTAAAAGAAATTGACTTGGAATAAAATGAGATGTATTTCACTAGGTAAGTGCATAATATGACCACTAAATGACATAGTGAAGTTGCCAGGTGCTTGTGTGTGCATATTGAGTCACTGTGGGTGTGACAGTTACAGATGCAGGCTGACAGTCAGTGACTCAGAGAACACAGGCTGACATTCCAAAGTGAAATAATAAAATTCCAAACAAAACGAAGTATAATCTCTCCTTAGTTTACAAGGCCATTGCCTTTATGGATAATTGAGTGAGTTTTTTATTTATTTGTAAAATGGAATTAGGTTCGAAGTTTAGCTAGATGCCAGGTGAGAGATGTGGAAGTCTGTGGGATGCAGGGTTGGACTTTGTTGTATAGAGTCGTGCTGTGCACTGCAGAACAGCGACCGTCTCTGGTCCTTAACTCTTGAATGTTGGTGCTGGTTGCTCATCATTGTTGCTCACCACAGCTTTCCAGATGCCCTTAGGAGGGAGCCATTGTCTTAAAATATACGTGGATTGTGGTAGGATTGGGACTAGCACACAGGCCCCTAATTCCTGGTCTCCCCACTGTGCAGTGCAGCAATGGTACTTCAGCTTGCTTCTGTGTTGTGTCATGTTTACTAATTTTGAATTGGAAGAAATATTGTAAGTCATTCTTTCCCATACATTTTAACTAGCGCTCTGCTGGGTAATGATGTGTTTTCAGGTTGACTTGCTGTGACATATTGTCGTAGTCAGTGCTGCCTCCTGCTCTGCGTTACTGCGTCTTCCTTTGGGTCCCTTGCTGTTTAGCCCACTCCAGTGCGTCTGACTCAGCCCTTTTCCCAGCAGCGAGCATCTGGCCTCTTTTGTTCAGCCCACAGCTAAGGGCCACCTGCTGTGCGCTGGCTCTTTTTCTAGGCAGTGGGGATCTGGTGCTGAACGAAGCCAGTATTCCCACCACCATGGAACCTATCGTCAAATAGAGGCTTTAAGCAAGTAAACACATAAGTGGATACAGTTATAGACCTGTTCATTTGTAATGAGTACTGTGAGAGGGAATGACAAGGGGGATCTGCGATGACATGCAGTGTAGGAAAGGCCCTTATGTAGAAGCCACTTTTGCATTGAGCTCTGAAGGACAGGAAGTGCTGGCCAGGAGAACACTCCAGGTCAGGGAACAGGGTGGGGAAAGGTCAAGGGCAGGAAAGAGCTTGACCTGTGGCTGGGGACTCTTAGGCAGTTAAGCCACTATCATCATGGGGTTATCTTGTTATTCTTTATTCTTGGTTAATGTTGCCCTGTGCTTATATGGAACTCCAGGCAGTTCCCTGAATATAGCTTCCTATTTCATGTACTTGGTACATGCCGCCTCCTCTCCAGCCAGAACTCCCAGCCAGCTTTCCTTCCACTCAGGTATCGCTCCTGCTGACCTTTGTCAGTGGACTCAGGTACTTCCTCTGAGCACTTAAAAAAATATATACATGTTATATTAAAAAAAATATATATATATATATAATTGATTTCAGAGAGGAAGGGAGAGGGATAGAGAGAATTTTCCCCATTGAAACATCAATGATAAGAGAGAATCATGGATTGGCTGCCTCCTGCATACCCCCTACTGGTGATCAAGCTGCAACCCAGGGATGTGCCCTGACCAGGAATGGAACTGTGGCCTCCTGGTTCATAGGTTGATGCTCAACCACTGAGCCACCCTGGGTGGGCTCCTCTGAGTGCTTTTCAAACCTTGTGCATACCTCTGTACAGCAGCCACCACATTGGGTATGTCTGTTTTCCTCTTTGATAAACTCCTTGAACACTGGGATTGTATCCTTGCATCTATATAAATCCAATACCTGCTGTAGTAAGAATTTGAACTTGGTAGGCAGTAAAAATCTATTTAGTAAATGGTCAAACATACTGTTTTTGAAGACCTGAGGACCCCACACCCCTCTCTCCTTGCCACCAGAATCTACCTTTTCACTCTCCACTAACTGTGGCTTCTCGGTTGTATTTGGGAAACAGTCATTTATAGATGTGCCACAGATGGAAGATGTCAGGGACGTGAATGATGACCTGATGAACTTGGCTTTGGCAGTAGGACACAGTACCTAATTGGCTGCACTGCGTTAGAGCATTCCAGTTCAGGTCTCGAGTCTTTATTTTACATAAAGTGAATAAAAGATGAGCAGCAACAAAGAACTAGGTTCTTCTTTCATTTTGGTATTACTGGTGTTACCATTTACTGTAAGTACTACCATTTTTTAAAGTGAACATTACAATTTTCTCATTATTTAGGTATGTGTTGTCTGTTTTTTCCAAATTTTTTTTAATCATCATCTGAGGATATGTTTCCCCATTGATTTTAGAGAGTAGAAGGGAGGGATAGTGTGTGGGCGTGAGAGAGAAACATCGGGACCAGGGATGCAACCTGCAACTTGACCAGGAACTGAACCCGAGACACTTCTGTGCTCAGGCCGATGTCCTAACCGAGCAGCACTGGCCAGAGCTGTGCTGTCTTTTTAAGATAACTATTCTTTGACCTAGAAAAAATATATTTTTATTGTATGAAACTGAAACCAGGATGTTAAATAATATACACAAAGTTTTGAGCCTTCGTTGGTGCTATGACAAAGAACCTCTAGTTCAGAGATTCCTATATAATGCTAATTCCTATATAATGCTATATAATTTTCTTTTAGCACAGTAACAATATTTAATTGTCATTAAAATATTAATGCACTTTTTTTCTTTCAGAGAGTAATGCCTTCCAGCTTTTTCCTGCTGTTGCGGTTTTTCTTGAGAATTGATGGAGTGCTTATCAGAATGAATGACACGAGACTTTACCACGAGGTATCGAATCTCATTTGACGAGTGTACTAATTGATATTGGGCCTGTTTGTGTTGTTTCATGTCTGTGTGAGAATTTGAAATTGAATAGAATAGTCTATGGCATGCTTCATATTCACTCTTGACCGCGGTTACTGAAACATTCCGTCTTTTCCAAAAGTTCTGGCAGCTGAAACTTTGTTCTACAAGACACTCCCTACTGGGGTCTGATACTTCTTAAAAAATTGTTTGTACTTCATCTGTGTTTAAGAAAACTGTCCTTGAACTCTTACCTTTGTTTATAGTATGTATTGTTTACATCAGCGGTCGCCAACCGGTGGTCCGAGGACCACTGGTGGTCTGTGAGGTCCGAAAGGTTGGCGACCACTGGTTTACATAATGTCCTGATACTGGAAAGTTCTTCTAAAGTTTGAAGGCTTGTGCTCCATCTCAAGGAACTGTTAACAAAGTTTATTTTTTTAAAAGGAGGGGTGAGGCTTAAACTGAGTCATGAAAACTCTTCCAGTAGCTTCCCCATGGCCTGCCTTTGTGAATGAATTTTTAACTTCAGATTTGTGGGGTGATGAGTTAGAGACGAGACTGCCTGTGTCAGGGCTGTCGGGGAATGGTTACCTCTCCTAACAACCCAGTGAAACCTGTGCTGTATGATCTCTGTCTGCAGCCAAGGTAAAGAACAACTGACTGACTTTACTATCAAGCACATGGGACAGCTAGTGGTGGCAGAGCGGGGACCTGACCCCCTGGGATGGGATTGCATTGGTCGTTTCCCACATCCTGCACTTCGGGAAGGTTTTCCCCCTGGAACAAATACGGGGGCTCTGATGGACCTTTTTCTTTTTAAAAGTGGTTACAATATACTAAAAGTAGGCTGTATTTTTTTTTCCTTCAGAAAGGGTGTAATCAATCTAAATTTAAAAAATGCTTATGTTTTAACTCAACAATATTGAGTTTTTATGGAATTACCCTAAAAAAGATTCTAATATGCAATAACCCACAAATATGAATCAGTATGTATATGGCAGTGTTGTGTGTAATTCAAACAGGAGGGAAGGACACTTACTGCCCATTGAATGGACATTGATTAAAATTTTTACTTTATATCCATATAGTAGAAAAATATGTAGTCATTAAAATTAATGCGAGAGAGTTATATTTAACTGCTTTGGAAAGATGTGCAGAGATTTCTAAACGTTAAGGATAGTTATCTATAGGAGCTGTGATGCTGATGATTTATTTATACTTTATATACTTTGTTACTGGATTGTTTACAATGAACACTAATCTGTCTTTACTGATATGAAAGACTGAAACCTTACGGAGTTTAATCTTGTGGTTTTCTTTTATTGAAAAATGCCTCTAAAAACAAATTATGATAAATTGCTGCTTTAAAAAACTTAAAATTTTTTTTGTTGATTAATTGGTTTGAGAGAGAGGGGAGGGGGGGAGAACTTGATTTGTTGTTCACTTATTTATGCATTCATTGGTTGATTCTTGTATGTGCCTTGACTGGAGATGTTTTTTTCTGGAACATAAAAGTAGCTGCAGGTAATGATAATATTGTAGCTTAAGGAAAAGCTGTAGTTCTCAACTTGAGTGACAGGAAAATCTCTTGCATTTCTCACTTATATACATATTCACTTTCAAGGTAAAATCTTGCTTGTGTTTCTCTTACATGGTAATTACTAAATCTGCTTATATTTTTGCATCTGATGTTACTATGATTTATAGGGATTGGAATGAACAATTCAGAATTTTTGGTGAGAGTTAAATAGCTGTTCTCTCACTGGAGAATAAGGTAGTCTCATTGGAGTTCATGCCACCATCACAACCTGTACTAAAATGTAAGCAGCTTTGCTTGATAGAAAGGATTATAAAATAAATATAAGTAAACTTGTTGCAACTTTTTTATTTTTATACCTAGGCCGACAAGACCTACATGTTACGAGAATATACATCACGAGAGAGCAGAATTGCTAATTTAATGGTATGGCATTTTAATATCAGTTTTCAGATGTAGAATTTTTTTCTTTTCAGATACATATCCCCCACCTCACCCCATCCCCCCAACTACCCAAATCTGCATCCTTAAACCTATTCATTAACCCAAAGGGGCTCAATAGGGTGGGTCCTACTCGATAGAACTGTGAGCTTACCTCAAATACAAGAACAGTTAGAGTTGCTGGGTACTATAGCCACCATCCCATCTGATTTCCACATTTAATCTGGAAAAGCTGAGATCCAGAGGTGGGAATTACCTGGAGTCACACCTCTGGCTGGTTGGTACCACCTGGATGTTCTTTCCACTTGCCACCCTGTGATGTCTTCCTACCCAGGCCCTTTTCCCCTCAAGTGTGGTCATTTCACACCATGACTTGTTCTTTTTGGCATAATTTCTCTCTATTTTCGCTGCCCTGGGACTTGTAAAGGGCTTCCTTGGGATTTACAATTCTACAGTAAGTTGCTGAAAACGTGATACCTTCCTGCAGACCTGACATTGCTTTTTCACCCTTTGTGCGTGCGTCTGTCTGGGCCCAGAGTGCACACGGTTAGAGAAGTTACTGCGCACACTGCACTCCAAGTGAAGGCTAGTGCTTTCCCGGTACAGTAGCCACAGAGAAAGGGGACTGGACTAAGTGGTACTAAATTCAAAGAGAAATAAAAAAGATTCAGTAGAAAGAAAAGAGGCACTGAATTCTTAGGACATTTATGGCAGCGTTGTAAACACCATATCCCTGTGATCTTTGTGTCATTAAGGCACAGAGCCGAAGAGTCAGGAACAAAGGTGCCTGTTATTACCCGGTCCTGGGGGTGCTCCTTACCTACAGTTCCGTACCTCACCTTAAAACCAGCATGCTTTACGGCCAGCGTTTCTAAAAAGTCAGTGCAATAACCGAATCGTTGCTGATATAATTTACGTGTTTCCCAGCATGTCCCACCTTCCCTCTTCACGGAACCTAATGAAATGTCACAGCATTTACCGATCAAGGAGACAGTCTGTGAGAAGCTATTATTTCCAGAAAAAATTGATCAGAACCCCACAGACTCACAAGCAAATGCGCCTGTGGAATAGAATGTGACACACCAGCTACTCAGCGTGGAATCCGATGGAGACTTTGACGATGTGGATGAAGTTTTTTTATTATGAGAAGTAATTGCCTTGTCTATGTGCAGATTTCCTATAGACTTTAAAGGAAAGAAAAAGATTGCTGCAGGGAGATTCCACCCAACTACTGTTTGTACTGTCCTCAAGTTCATAGTCCAGATTTGTTTCCTGGAGTTCACTTGCATTTCTAACTTGTCACAGGGGGATGCCATCAGTAATGAGGTGTCTGTGTCTCATGAACAGTGGGCGTACTCTGTATCCATTAGGAAACACTGCCTTCCCCTGGGAGGCGGTCGCTCTAAATCCCTAGGTCGCATGCGACTCGGGGCTGCTGTGTGCATGTTGTCCGCCTTGCACCCTGGGCTTTGTGGTTTTTTTCCACTGCTGCACAGTCCTGACTTGCCTCCCAGGAAATTGACCTCATACTTTAATGATCTTCACCCCAATATTAAAGAAATGTACATTTCCTCTCTAAATTTAAATTGACTCTTGAAGTTTAAAGAAAATTTCAGACATAGAACCAAATAACCTAGTCTTTTGGAGAACGTAAGCTATGGAGCCCATTGGACACACACGAGCCTGGTTTGGCATTAATAGCAGAATGCAGAGCTGTCTTTTTCCATCTTCGGGTGCTATTTCCTATGTGCTTCTGCTGGTACTGACATTTTCACTTCCATCTTCCACGCAGCCTCAGAGTGAGTAAATCCATTGAATATTGAAGTTGGTATTAGTCCTAAAAGTTTAAAGAATCCATATGGATTGTGGTTCGCACATATCACATCAACCCCTAACAACCAGATTAATTTTCTGCTTAAAATATTTGAGAGGTAGCTATGGAGAAGGCTAATTTTTAAATATCAAAGCCAGTTTTCTGATTTTAAGATTCATATTGTTAACATTACAGGGAATCCAGTAAAGTGTAATTAGTACAAGAGCTGGGTAGTCCAGAAAGTACTCAAAAGTACATGTAAAGTCCATTTGATTATTTTGATGATGACCTTTTAAACATTGTATACCTGCCTTTCTAAATGATCTTCCTAAAGTGGAAAGTGGTTATAAAGCACCAAGTAAGGAATTACTTAAAGTGGATTTTTAAAATGACTTTTTTACAGGTCAGGGGAACAAATATCATCCCCCCCTTTCCTGGTTTGAAATAACTGTTGTACATATTTCTACTTGATGGATAAATCATTAAATAAGAATATTTAAATAAAAGTGTTAGCAAAGCTCTTCAGGTATTATTAGCCTGATGATAAGTTTTAGTGAACAATACAATTGGATATTCATTCCTTGTTCAAACTCTGGTGCACTCTTGTGTGTATTGTTGTTTTGCTAATTGTATTACCCAGTTTTGGTCTCAAATGGTTTTGGTATTTGCCGTCTGTTGCATCACCTGTGACATATAGGAAATCAAGATTTTGTTAACTTTACAAAAACACATGGCATGTTCACTGTGTATTAAATATGCCTGAATTTAATGTTTTCTCTTAGGCCAGGAAAGTAATCATACTGTACTCAGCTTTCTGTGTTATTTTATTTGCCATGCAGATTTGAACAGAATAGCCTCTTTTTTTTCATGCAAATTGTAAGAAATGAAAAACCTGTAAGAATATTCACTAGTTGAAATTTCTGGGCAGTATCATATATATCTTTTAAAACTTGATTCAGGTGTCTTGCTCCTTGATTCAGTCTTAGATTGCTTATTTTGCTTCATTGTTAAACATTGCAGGGAATTAAAAGAACTGACCTTGTTTTATAGAAGGTGAGCGGTGCATAGGAAAATGTACTTCTGAAAATTCATCAGTTTATTCCTGCGGAGAATACCAAGAAAACCTGTATTTGCCCATTGCTGAATAAGACATATGCCATTCTGTATTCATTTGTCCCAAGTGTCTTTTTGTAAGAGGAGAATAAACAATAAGGAATTATTGATCTGTTTTGCTATTTCATTGACTTAAGTTTTTCTTAAAGCTTAATTAAACAATGGTTTGGTATACCTTTCTTGTTTGTGCTTTTTGTTTTGTAATTGGTCAACATCATGGCCAGAATCTCCAGACAGATTATAAAGGAAAATCTGATATAATCCCAGTTTAGCTTTTGGGTTCTTTCTCTCTCCCTCTGTACCCCAGTATTCTCTGGATGTTGCAACTAGTCAGTGTTTACTGTGTGTTGGGTTAATGTTTTCTCTTCTTGAAAATGTGAATACCTGTTGTATGCATCTTTCCATGTAGTTTTTTATTTTTATTTTTATTGTTGAAAGTATTGCATAGGTCCTCCTTCCATGTAGTTTTTTTTTTTCATGTAGTTTTGAGTGTCCCATATGGTGCTAGAAAGGATTGCAGTTAAGAGATAGAGTTTATGTCTTCATGGGGTTAAAGTTTAATGGAAGAGACAAAGTAAAAATAATTACAGATTTTAATAAGTGCAATGATGGAAATAACACTGATTTAAGAGAATAAATGACTGTTAGTAGAGGTTCTAAGAGAATGTAGAAAGCCTCAAGAGAATGTCACTTCGAATTTAACAAGGAGAAAGCCTGTGGAAGCTACAGAATGCCAGTGTTCTTTGGTGTATCCGAGAGAGCCGGGTTTGCACGGCAGAGTAAACTGAATCCCAAAGAGTGACGAGCCCTCTGATGAGATGGGACAAATTGCTTTGTCTCAAGAAGAACGTGAGACAGGTAAGGAAAAAAAAGCTAAAATGTTAACAGGTTTTTTAAAGGCTGCGTACGGGCTAGCCATCAGTTGGGAAGAGCTGGGAGTCTCAAATAAGAAACAGAGTTCTTCTCAAGGGTCTACCCCAGGCGCTCATCAGATGCTGGGGCGGGAAGGGGGGAACTCCTGTTAGTGGCTCAGGCAGGCAGGAGGCTGGAGGCATAGGTATGAAACCCTGCCCGCTTCCCCCAGACCCTTTCCTTGAGGGATTCAAGTCTTAGGCTGCTGGTGGGGAGGGGCAACACATCACATTACCCTCAGACCCAGGGAAAAACGCTTGATTTCTGGGGGGAAAAATAAAGGCAAACCCTTCAGGCTTGGGGCAGAAGTCGGAAATGCTCTGACAGTCACTGCTAGAGGAGGCCAAGCAAATACCCCTGACCTTGGAGCAGGGGCAGAAAACCCTGGGCCCAGGGTCCTACGGGGATAACAAAATAGATGTGCTACCCTGAGGGAGGGCACGGAATTCACACACAAGAACAATAGCAGATTTCCACCAGTTTGGCTGCCACAGGCAGGGGACGGGGCAGGAGTGTTGAGAGAGGCACCCCTCCAAGGCCCAGGCACACAGCCTGCCTTAGACTGAGGCATCAGAGTCAACTGAGAAACCCTGCGCCACCACCAGCCTAGCACTGAGTAACGGGCCACCAGTCTGTCATGGTGGAAGTGGGCACCTGGAGAGCGGGAACGGCGTCTCTCTTCACTGGCACGTAGTACTCCATACGTGTGTTTAGAGTGAATAAGAGATTGATTAGAAGAATGAATCAGCAACCCTGAGAACAAAGGGGTCGGGGAGAAAGTTAGTTCTAAGATATTCCGGTACGATGTTACATAGCTACTTGGATAGTGATAGAACTAGTGAAATTGAGCTCCGTGCAAATTCCAATACTCTTGCCTCACTCCCTCTTTCTTCAGGGACCTGTAATCAGCTTGCAGTATTCCTTCCCTCTTTCCAGCAGGACAGGAGTTTGGTCTCTCAAGTTCCTTGAAGGCAGGGATAATGGTTAATTCTGCATTTGGGTCAAGGACCAGGCATTGTGCACGGTGTGTAATAGGTGCTCAATTAATGCGGAAGAAATGGATGCCTGTGAGGCTGAGTCAGTGGAGGCAGGGAGGCTCCTTGGAGAGGGTCTAGAGACCTTCAAGGGAAAGGAGACTGTACCCAGGTTTCCCTGGGGAAGGCCCAGGCGACCCAATCCCCCTGGACACAGACACCTCTCCGGTGGGTTCAGGCTGAGTCTGCATTGAGGGCCTTGCTGTAGACACGGGGCTGCAGTGCCTGCCATCTGCCGCTTTAGGTAACCTCATCGCTATTGGACGTGAAGCTCCTGATCTGACGCTCTGGTAGCAGCTTGTTACTCTCCTATTGTAAAAGAGAACATTCTTGTGTTCTTACAAGGTTGAAGCCATGTAGCATTTCCCTTAGGCCTTTGACTCACCACTTACAGGCAGGGTTGCCCTATGATTTGTGGGGCCTGGGAAACAGTGCAAATGGAAGTCCATTAGCCATGTGTCTAAATAGTTAATAGCTATGCATCAAGCTAAATAATTGTTAAATTATGTATGACCCTCCTATATTGACAAATACCTGTAGTTATGGCTTTTATGAGACTGCAAATTGGCTAAATGTCAAAGATGATATTCAGCCCTGGCCAGTCTGACTCGGTTGGAGTGTCATCCCATACACCCAAGGTGGCGGGTTTGATTCCCTGTCAGGGCACATACCAAGGTGTGTGTTTGATCCCTGGTCAGGGCACATGTGGGGGGCACCCGATCGATGTTTCTCACATCGATATTTCTCTCTTGCGCTTTCTCTAAGATCAATTTTAAAAAGATGATATTCAAACACCTAAAGTCAATGATCACAAAATTAAAATATAAAAATATAAATTCAATTTAAAAATAAATGACATTATCTTTTATGTTTTCAACAGTTATTTAAAAGTATTCAAAATAATCTGCAAAAGTTAAAGGAAAGAAATCTAATTTATAATTAATTCGCAAATTTTTAAAAATCAAATTTCAGGTATTTGAATAAAATTGAATTTTTTGTAAGTTATGCAACCAAGGTTTTATCCAGAATGTTATTTTTTTTATTTTAATAATTTTTTATTGATGAGAGAGAGAGAGAGAGAGAGAGAGAGAATTGATGTGAGAGAGAAACATAGATCAGTTGCCGTCCATTTGCACCCAACGGGATTGAACCCGTAACCTGCCAGGGTTATTTATTTTTTAAGTTGAAATTTTCTACTTGACTCTGAAAATGTAATGAAATCTTATTAAGTATTTTTATTAAAAAGCTCTTTGTGATTCTAGTGTTCAATATCTTAGAATCAGTATCATGTTTCATGTATTTGATGCCTAGACCTACATATTTACACATTAAGAGTAATATGAATTGTTCAATATTGCAGAATATTCCTCACCCCCTGTGTGAATTGCAAATACTGCATCAATCTGTGAGTACCTCTGCAATCATCAATTAAAGCACGTAGAGAAATGAGAAAATAGACACTTGGAACAAATGGGAAATGGTATATTGTTCTGGGAGATTGTGCTGCACCCTGCCATGTCGGTGTGGGCTGGCTTAGAGAAGGCTTCAGAGAAGGAAGCAGAGGGACACTGTCTTCCACTAGATCAGTGATTCCCAAAGTGGGTGCTGCAACGATCCAGGGGGGCGGTGATGGCCACAGGTGCATTTGTTTTAACTTTTTTTGTATTACCTTTCTATTCTGAGTTCAATAAATAGTTTCATAATTTCAAACTTCAATGTTTCTAATTTACACCTTTCTTTACTATATTTTACAAAAAAGGTAGAAACATTAATACATATATCTTTCTGTTTAATTGCTATTAACATTTAAAAAAAATTAATTTCCAGGGGGCGCTGAGTAATATTTTTTCTGGAAAGGGGGCGGTAGGCCAAATAAGTTTGGGAACCACTGCACTAGATGCTAACTGAATGCCTGCCATGTCCCAGGCTCTCCATACATTGCTATGTTTCCTTCCCATAATAACTACAGAGGTGGTAATTTGTGTCCCTTTTACAGATGGGAAAAATAAGGATCAGAAAGGTTACGTAACTTGCTCAATGCCACACAACTAGCAGTAAGCAGTTGGTGCTAGAGTTATAAAACCCGGGTCTTCCTAACTCCACAGTGGGTGGACTTGCCACTGTGTCCTCACATTGGAAAGATGTGTAGGAATTTACTGAGAGGAACAAGGTGGGTAAAAAGGGCATCCAGGCAAAAGCATTTGTTACTCAAGTTCTGAGGTGTGAACTAAAATTATAGAAGCAAGGCATGTTTGAATGTCCATGAAGATGAAGTCACATAAGGACATAAATACAACCTTTTGACTGACTTGAATGGGGTCCTGTGTAACCCCCTTTGCCTGGTTGTTTTTAAGGAATCTCCAAAAGGCCCAAGTTCTTGGTGTGCACCTCAAGAAGAAATACATCCACCAAGAACCACTCCTGGTGGCTAACTGGGCACAAATTCATAACCACAGTCTAGCAGCCATTGCCAAGAGAGGCCTCTCACACAGCCTGCTTCTCAGGAAAAAGACAGACAAGGCTGCCAGCCTCCTGCGCTATGCTCCTGCCAGCTGAACCCACCTTTATAAAGGAGTTCCTGGAATCGCCTTTCAACCAATGGGCTGAGACCTGCCCTGTCCAATCGGAACTGTGCAGCTCTGCCCTCATTTACATACTTCCTGACCAATCAGAGCAGCTCTATAACCGACCGGACAGTTATTCTCACCAATCAGATTGTAAATCTGGGTTCCTCATTTGCATAGCAATGGACCAATTAGTAACGAGGGAGGGAACTTTATAAAAGCCAGCCTGCCTTTAGTCTCAGAGGCGTGGACTTAGAATTTCTGCCCGGGTCAGTGTCTCCTGGGTTAGCAAACTTTACCTGGGAAGCGGTTCTCTTAAGGACTCCTGTCCACCTTGTGTTGACATTGGTAACATCATTTCTGTCCCGGCAGTCTCCGTGTGTCCGGGGGCGGCGGGAGACACTAGTGGACGCTCCAGGGAACCTGTCTGTGGATTCGCTTTTTAAAGCGATTTGATCTTGAAGTTAGCTTTGCAGACATTACCCAGCGAGCAGCCTGGGAGCCCCTGTCCTGCGGTTAGGGAATCTCCGACATGTATTCATTAGCGCGGGGCTCCAGTTTGAAGTCGGTGAAAGGAACCAACAAACTAACATTCCTCAAACCCAAGTCCTACCCGATTTCGCCCAAATCGCACTCGGTGCGTTTCCACTGGGAATTAGCGTCT